AGTAGAATTGGGCTGAAAGATCTATTGGTTTATTACCTATTCAGGTCATAAATCATGTTTTTAAAAAGTAACTAAGTAATTAATTACTTTTGAAAATAAGTAATCAGTAAAGTAACGGGATTACCTTTTGGGGGAAGTAATCAGTAATTAGTTACTGATTACTTTTTTCAAGTAACTTGACCAACACTGCTAGTTAAGTTACTACCATAGTTAATACACTTACGGGTAACATGATAGTGCTAACCCATAACCCCGAACTCTGTAATACTGTAAATGATGAGTGATTTAAGTTAACACTAAACATAATACAGTGTCTCCTGAACATTTATAATCAGGTGTGAGTCTGGCTGCATTGACTTTTGAAGATGCAAATTTAACATGATGGCTGATGGTGCGTTTATTTGTTTTTAAGTATGTTTATTGAGATTTTTTGATATAAGAAAAAAAAGACAAAAAAAGACACCCCCCCCCAAAAAAAGAGAAACAAACAAAAAACCCAATAAAACGAAACAGACAACACAACAGCAAGGGCAAAAACACACAAATAAGGCAAAATATTACACTGCAACAACAAAAAATACTACTTCAGCACCGGCAATAAACAGAAATAAAACGCTGAGGTGGCACGCTGAATTATTTGCGATCGATCAAAGAGAACTTTGTTTTAATAAATGATCTAAAAATGGCTGCCACACATCAAAGAAATGACTAAGTTTGTCCGCTGATGTGTACCTAATCCTCTCCACGTGCAACAGAGCACTCAGTTCTGTTACATTTTGAATTGAGCTACAATATCCGACTTCCAGAGAGTCAAGATCATTTTCTTAGCAATTACCATTCCGAACAAAAATGTAGTTTGTGCAGCAGAGCTGAGGTGTAAAAGGGAAGAGGAAGATCCAAACAATGCAGTTATTGGGTCTGGCTCTAATGTCCAATTGTAGATATCAGAAAAATATTTAAAAATGTCCAACCAATAGTTATGCAATTTGGGGTAAGTCCAACATAAATGAGTAAGAGAGCCTTCTCCAAGTTTACAATCAAGAACTAAAATCCCCCAAGAATAAACAAACCCGATTCTAAAACTAGTAAAAATACAATTTTCTATGTTTACTAAAATCCCCTGATCTAATTATGCCACATGTTTATTATGGGTCCACCAGCAGGCCAGGAATTCCTTTTTTAGAGCGGAGTCAACGCCAGCCTCGTCCCCGGCAGACGAGGAGAAGCCTCCAATCCTCCTCTTGTCCCTTCACTGGGTCCATCGCATCCCAGCCCAGCTCACGTTCTGCATCGCAGTCCGTCATGCGATGCCACCACGGCTGCTCTCGCGTCAGGGCCCTGTAAAATAACAAACAGGGGCCAGAACGGTCTGAGATCATGGTGGTAGGCTTGTGATGGACACACTTTTCATCCCTGGAAGACCAACATGCAAGATAAATACAAAGTTCCACTGTGTGACATACATATGCTAACACAAGCTACTGTAACTTAGAGAAGCTCAGCGAGAAGAGTGAGAATGTTCAAAAATACAGCCGCATCAACAACATGAACAAATATATTACCAGGTCACAATTACAGTGAGTCCGCAAAACGTTCAGCTTCAGCAGGAGACTTGAACGTGTTAGTGATGCTGTTGTGAACTACCCGAAGCTGGGCCGGGTAGTGCAGACTGCACGTCGCTCCGGAGGCGCTAAGCTTTTTCCTGACCGTATTGAAGGCCATCCGCTGCGCAAGGACCTAGTCGGGGAAGATGGACAGATTCTCTCCATCGCAGCTCAACGGTGCACGTTGGCGTGCCAGACGCAGGACATGCCACACGTCTTTGTCATGATGCAACTTGGCTATGATAGCCCTCGGTCGCTGGCCAGCCGTTGGTTTTGGTCTAAGGGTGCGGTGTGCCCTCTCCACTTTTATCGGCTTAATAAAGTTGTCTTTCCCCAACACATCCAGCAGCAGGGATGAAACAAAGTCCGCAGGTTTACCGCCCTCAGCACCTTCCTTCACTCCAACAATCCTAATGTTGGCCCGACGCGAGCGCGCCTCCATCTGGCCTCCATCTGGCCTAGCTTGCCACGCAGGTTATCGGTGGACGCCATTAGTTTCTTGCATGTAGCTTCCAGCATACAAACACGGCAGTCCAATGTAGTAAGCGACTCATCGATAACATCTAGACGTTGTTCGGATGACCGGATATCTGCCTGGAGCTTAGACAGAATAGACTCAATTGTGTCAAGGCGGGTCTCCATAGAAGTTTTTAGGCTAGCGATAGCTGCTAATATGGCGTCGGTGCTCGCAGAATTTTCAGCTACTGCTTTCTGGCAGTGTGTGTTGCGTCTTTTTTAGGCGGCATGTCGTCCAGTATTTATCGTAGTCGATGCAAGGCAGTAGTGCTGTTGACCAGTTAAGTAAAGATGCAGGGTGTCGCGTTAAATTGTTGGAAAATAAGAAGAAAAGTGCGGAGCTGAGAAGAGTGCGTCCTACTCCATCAGTGTACACGAGCGCCCCCCATGAAGTTTGACTTTTAAAACACTAACCGAGGCCTGTAGTGTATATGGTTTTTCGTCGTTTCTCTGAGCATCGTATCGCCTGATCTTGGGAATTTCTCAGGACATCCACCTCTGGGAAGACAGGCAGCGGTCTTAAATGTTGTCGCTGTAGATCTGGATGTCAAATTGTTTGGAAATTACTTTATAACACTTTCGAGGTAGAGAGGCAGCGATAGTTGTGTCTGATATCTCCGACGCACACCTGAATGCTCTAGACAAGCAAAGACTTTGCTTTTATAGAGCTTCTCACTCTTACTGATAATCAGTTTGATTTGATTAGCAGCACCTGGCTGTTACTTACCCTCTGATACTCTATAGAAACACTAAGTAAATAATGACATGGTGTAATATGTCATGTGTCATTCTTGATCTGAAGTTTTATTTACCTAATTTTAAGTCCTGATGAGGACCGGACACCTTCCCATAATGTTGTGTGTACCTCGATTGCTTTGCAGAGATGTCCAAAATGCACTGAAGCATCAAATTTGTGGGTCGATGATGCCAATTTGTGTGAGTAACTGGCCTAGCTGTAGAGCTGGGCGATAGAACGATAACGATATGTATCGCGATATAACTTTTACTCGATAGAGAAATTAAGCTATC